TCGGTATTATGCTTTAGTCCCGTTACATTTTAGGCACAAGATTTCTTGACTAGTGAGCTATTACGCACTCTTTAAATGGTGGCTGCTTCTAAGCCAACATCCTAGCTGTTTGAGAAATCTTACATCCTTTTTCACTTAGCATAATTTTGGGACCTTAACTGACGATCTGGGTTGTTTCCCTCGCGACTACGGGACTTATCTTCCATAGTCCGACTGCATAATAATACATTGTAACATTCGGAGTTTAATTATAGGCAGTACCCCTAGGTGGGGCCATTCCATATTTAGTGCTCTACCTTTACAATTTAACATTACACGCTAGCCCTCAAGCTATTTCGGGGAGAACCAGCTATCTCGAAGTTCGATTGGAATTTCTCCGCTAATCACAAGTCATCCGGGCACTTTTCAGCGTACTACGGTTCAGTCCTCCATATAGTATTACCTATACTTCAACTTGCTCATGATTAGATCACTTCGTTTCGGGTCTATGTCAACATACTTAAGCGCCCTATTAAGACTCGCTTTCGCTACGGCTCCGTTTTTTACCACTTAACCTTGCATATTAACATAACTCGCCGGTCCATCCTGCAAGATGTACGCCATCACACATTAACGTGCTCTGACTATTTGTAAGCATTATAGTTTCAGGATCTATTTCACTCCCCTCCCGGGGTTCTTTTCACCTTTCCCTCACGGTACTTGTTCACTATCGGTGTTTGGTTAGTATTTAGCCTTACCGAGTGGTCTCGGCAGATTCAAGCAAGGTTTCACGTGCCCCGCTCTACTCAGGATATGATCAAAAGATTGAAAAATTTCATTGACGGGACTATCACCCTCTATGGTTAAGCTTTCCAACTTATTTAACTATTTTTCAATTTTGTAACTTTTATGTTGATCATCCTACAACCCCAACAATTTGTTGGTTTAGGCTCTTTCACTTTCGCTCGCCGCTACTGATGAAATCATTTTCATTTTCTTTTCCTCTTGTTACTAAGATGTTTCAGTTCACAAGGTATTGCTTTAACTATTATAAAAATAGTTAATAATGCAAAAAAAATTGCATTTGGTTTCCCAATTCGGAAATTCCTGTGTCATAGCTTATTTCCAGCTCTACAAGACTTATCGCAGGTAATCACGTCCTTCATCGCTACCAAACCCAAGGCATCCACTATATGCTCTTAGTTATTTAAAACTTTTTTGAGTATATCTATTGATGTTTATTAATTTAAAACTAATAAACGAGATGTTTAAAATTATATTTAGACGAAAAAAATTATATTTTTTTGTGTTGTCTAAGATCTAATATTGCTATTCAGTTGTCAAAAAACTTGGTAACTTTTTTACCCAGGAAGTTGCCTGAAAACTAAACAAAACTAAGCCAAGACTAACTTCATGAATAAATGTTGATAAATGTCTTGTTAAAAATGTACTCTCCGTAGAAAGGAGGTGATCCATCCCCACGTTCTCGTAGGGATACCTTGTTACGACTTAACCCCAGTCATTGATCCTACCTTAGATAGTTGCCTCCAAATAAATGGTTAACTAACTAGCTTTGGGTATTACCAACTCCCATGGTTTGACGGGCGGTGTGTACAAGAGCCGAGAACGTATTCACCCTAGCATTGATGATCTAGGATTACTAGCGATTCCTACTTCATGGAGTCGAGTTGCAGACTCCAATCCGAACTGAGACAAATTTTACAGATTTGCTCCACCTCACGATTTTGCTTCTCTTTGTATTTGCCATTGTAGCACGTGTGTAACCCAACATGTAAGAGGCATGATGACCTACCTCATCCCCTCCTTCCTCCTAGTTACCTAGGCAGTATCTTTAGAGTGCTCAACTAAATGTTAGTAACTAAAGAAAAGGGTTGCGCTCGTTATAGGACTTAACCCAACACCTCACGGCACGAGCTGACGACGGCCATGCACCACCTGTCTTTTTGTTATCCTCCAGCATATCTCTATGCCTTTGCAAAAGATGTCAAATGTTGGTAAGGTGCTTCGCGTATCTTCGAATTAAACCACATGCTCCACCGCTTGTGCGGCTCCCCGTCAATTCCTTTAAGTTTCACTCTTGCGAGCATACTACTCAGGCGGTTTGTTTATTGCGTTAGCTGTATCAGTGATTTCACCACCGATTAACAAACATCGTTTACAGCGTGGACTACCAGGGTATCTAATCCTGTTTGCTCCCCACGCTTTCATCCCTCAGTGTCAGTGTATATCCAGTTAATTGCCTTCGCCATTGGTGTTCTTCCACATATCTACGCATTCCACCGCTTCATATGGAGTTCCATTAACCTCTTTATAACTCTAGTCTATTAGTATTTAATGCAAACAAAAGTTGAGCTTTTGTTTTTAACACCAAACTTAATAAACAACCTACGAATGCTTTACGCCCAATAATTCCGGATAACGCTTGCAGTCTATGTATTACCGCTGCTGCTGGCACATAGTTTGCAACTGCTTTCTGATAAGATACCGTCAGACTAAAAACATTTCCTTTTTTAGCTATTCTTCTCTTATAACAGTAGTTTACAACCCTAAGGCATTCATCCTACACGCTGTGTCGCTCCATCAAGCTTTCGCTCATTGTGGAATATTCCCTACTGCTGCCTCCCGTAGGAGTCTGGGCCGTATCTCAATCCCAGTGTGGTGGTTCAACCTCTCGATCCCACTATACATCATAGCCTTGGTAGGCTTTTACCCTACCAACAAGCTAATGTAGCGCACCCCTATCTTTTAGCAAAGCAATCGCTTCCTTTCATATAAAAAACATATGTTAATTATACATATTTGGTATTAGCCACAGTTTCCCGTGGTTGTCCCAATCTAAAAGGCAAGTTAGGTACGTGTTACTCACCCATTTGCCACTAAGTACAAGTACTTCGTTCGACATGCATGTATTAGGCACACAGCCAGCGTTCATCCTGAGCCAGGATCAAACTCTCAATTAAATTGACTTATTCATGGTCTGTTTTGTTTAGTTTTCAAATAACTTCTTTTTTTTAAAAAACATAACTTTAAAAACATAATTGTTTGTAAAAAAAACCACTCAAAAAATAATTATTTTTTTTGAGCAATTATTTATCTTTTATTTTTTTAAAGTTTGAATAGTTATTATATAGATAAAAAATAAAAATTTTAAAAAATTTTGTTTTTTTTATAAAAATATTTATTTTTTTTGATTTTTCTTAGAAAAATAGCGATTTTTGCTATGTAAATCTTATTTTCTATAAAAGTAATTTGTATAAAAAATACTTTAAAAAAAATAATAAATTTCATTTTCAACAGTTCATCTTTTAATTTACTACTTATTTATATTAGAGATGTTATGAATTTATAGTTAAAGTATTTGTTTATATAAATTAATGCTTTTTTTAGGAAAAATATTAATTGTAATTATCATCATTTTATTATTTATAGGTTTAACCAATTATTAATTTTTAGAAACTATAAACTCTAGCTACTAAAGTTTATTTATGATATATAACTTTTTTTGGTTTGTTTTTGATGTTAGCTTATGGATCTTTTTTAATTATCTATAAATAGACACAATAATCTTTTAAAAATAAAAAAAACCAAAATAAACTAAGTTATCTTGGCTTTTAAAAATTAAGCTTTTTCTATTATGCTAATCTAAAATATCAGTAACAGTTCCGTGACCTACAGTTTTACCACCTTCACGAATTGAAAACTTTGTTTCTTTTTCGATGGCAATTGGTGAAATTAATTCAACCACTAATTCAACATTATCACCTGGCATAACCATTTCAACACCACTAGGTAATTCAATTGAACCAGTTACATCAGTAGTTCTAAAATAAAATTGAGGTTTGTAATTTTTGAAAAATGGAGTATGACGTCCACCTTCTTCTTTATTTAAAACATATACTTGTGACTTAAATTTAGATTTAACTTGAATTGAATTAGGAGCAGCAATTACTTGACCTCTTTCGATAGCATTTTTATCGATCCCACGAAGTAATATACCTAAATTGTCTCCAGCTTGCCCTTCGTTTAAAGTTTTTTGGAACATTTCTATACCAATAACCACTGATTCAGCTTTTTCTCTCAAACCAACAATTTCAACTTTATCATTTATTTTGATTTTTCCTCTTTCAACTCTACCAGTTGCAACTGTCCCACGTCCTGGTATAGAGAAAACATCTTCAACAGCCATTAAGAATGGAAGATCAAAATTATGTACAGGGGTAGGGATTTCACTATCAACTGCAGCCATTAAATCAGCGATTGATTGTTCGTGTTTAGGATCACCTTGCAATGCTTTTAAAGCAGACCCGCGAATAAACTTAGTAGCATTTCCATCGTAATTATATTTATCCAACAATCCTCTAATTTCTTCTTCAACAAAGTCAATCATTTCTTCTTCACCTTCAAGCATATCAACTTTATTTATATAAACAACAATGTTAGCAACACCTACTTGACGTGCTAACAAAATGTGTTCTTTTGTTTGCGGCATTGGCCCATCTGTAGCGGCTACCACTAGAATAGCACCATCCATTTGAGCGGCTCCAGTAATCATATTCTTAATATAGTCAGCGTGCCCCGGGCAATCAATGTGAGCATAATGACGATTTTCGGTTTCGTATTCTATATGTGAAGTGTTTATTGTAATTCCACGTTCTTTTTCTTCAGGAGCGTTGTCTATTGAATCATAATCTTTAGCTTCAGCTAATCCTTTTTTATTTAAATATGTAGCTATAGCAGCTGTTAAAGTAGTTTTACCATGATCAACATGTCCTATAGTCCCTATATTAACGTGTTCTTTATTTCTTTCAAATGCTTTTTTTGCCATACTTTTTCCTTTTTTTAAAATTTTTAAATTCAATGCTTTTATAAGTCTATATTATAAATTATTGTTAAATCATTCAACAATAGCAATTATTATATATTAAATTAATTCAAAAATTAATACTATCATAAATTTTTAATTTAAAAACCAAATATATGGTTTTTAAAAAAAAAAATGGCGATCATAGTAGGATTCGAACCTACGACCCCAAGCTTAGAAGGCTTGTGCTCTATCCAACTGAGCTATATGACCACGCTAAATTTATTTTAAAAAACTATAAATATAAAATATTTCTAATAATTTTTTAATTTTCTTAAATTTAATTAATAATTAATAAAATAAACTTCTAAATTATATGGATAAAAAAACCAATCAAGAATTAATTGAGTGAACTAATTATAAAGTAAATGATTCTTTTTATCAAAATGATCTTAAAAAAAACCAAGAAAAATTAATAAAAAGATTATCAAGTTTTTTTCATTTTAATAATGATGGAGTTATTGCAAAACAAGGTTTTGGCAAAAAAAGAATTAATGAAATAACTATTCAAGTAGTAACAAAAGCATGACTTAATTCAATTAACAATGATAGTTTTAAAGAATTAAAAATTTTAATAGCTTTTGATGATAGAAATATTAATTTAGAATATGCGAAAAAAATATTTGACTTATTAAAAAATGAATATCATAGCCCTTTTATAATCCAAGATTTACAACCACTTTCTACTAATCTTGTAAGTTTTATTAAAAAAAACAAAAAATTAGATGGAGCAATTTATTTAGGAAGTAATTTATCTTCTGAAAAATATAATGGAATAAAAATATTTAATAGTTCAGGGCAACAAAATAGTCTAGAAGAATATCGATTAATTAAAAATAGATTAGATGAAATTGATATAAACAAGCTATTAAATAGCAATCAAAATAAACATAATCTAAATTTTATAAGTAATAGCATTATTAGTGATTATGAAGACCAAATAATAGCTATGGGAGTAAGAAAAAATGACCAACAATTATTAAAAATAGGTGTATATAATTACCCCACTCACTCTAAAACAGTATCAAACATATTATCAAAATTAAATTATGAGCACTATCTAATTGATTTTAGTCCTAATCTTTTTGATTTAAACCAAATAAAAGAATATTCTCCAGAAGATAAGTTTGCTTACAAATCTATGATTAAATCTGTTTTTAAAAACAAATTAGATCTGGGTATATTTATCGATAAATTAAGCGAAAAAATAAATTTCGTGATTAAAAATAAACAAGAAGTTAAAATTCTAAATTGCCAAGAAATAGTCCTTCTATATATTGATTATCTTTGAAAAAATAAATTAGAAGAGTTAAATATTTACTATCCCATCTATTTAAATGAAAGTATTAATAAATTATCAACCCTACATAATTATAAATCTTATAGTTATACTAATTATTTAAAAGTAATTAGCACTAACAAAAATAAAAATTCGTTAGTTTTTGATATTGATTATAGATTTTTACTAAACAATAATATAACAAGTAGTAGCGATGCTATGCAAATGATGATGATGTTTGTTGAGATGTTTAATTACTATAAAACTCAAACTTATACAATTGATTATAAACTTAGTTTAATATATAAACAAATTGGTAACTACAATTACAAAGAAATAGAACTAGAACTAAAAGATAAATTGCAAAACGATTTATTGGATAAAATTATAAAAAATAAAAAAAATAGAGAACTAAGCATCAACAGCATAGATGATTTTAGACAAAATAACTTAAATGCTGTCAAAGTTAATTTGACAGAAAATAATTGTTTTTCAATAGTTTGCTACCCAGATTCTAATAGCACAAAAATATTAATTCAACTCTTTAAACTCAAACAAAAAAATCAATTAATAAAAACTTTGCAATATGAAAATGAGATTTTTAACTTTATAGAAGATAATAAACCTCAAGAGATATTAAATAAACCTAAAACTAAAACAATAGTCAAATATTCATTTTTATCCTTAATATTTGTTAGTCTTATAGTTTTAATTTTTCTGAAAATTTATGCTAGTGGTAATGTTAGAGAAAACTGGGGATTTGCTAAATATATATTTATAGAGAATGTTTCTAAAAATCAATGATTAATAATAGCTATTTGAGCTTTTATATTACCTTTTTTTGATGGATTAATAAAAAAACGAATTTTACATATAAATGAAGTAAAAGTTTCTATTTATCATTGTTATATAGCCTCGTTGATGGGTATTATTATGTCATGAATCACCCCCCTTATGATTGGCGGAGACATAGTAGTATATTGATATTTGAAAAGGAAAAATGTAAAAAGAAGTGCACTTCTTAGTATGGCTACTATTAGTTTGATTCTATTTCAAATTTCTTTAATTCTACCTTCGGTAGTATATTTAACTTTTTTTAGTCATTTATACTACGATGCATTTTTTAATGAACAAATAAAAAATATCTTCTTTTTATTTATCATTTGCTTTATCTTTTGGGTTTGCTATTTTAATTTTTATGATGGTATTTATCCAACCAATTCAATTTCAAATTTTAAATTTTTACTTTTGAATCAAAAACTATGTTTGATACGATTATCAAAAAGATTCTAATCAACAAATTGAAATAGCTAAATATGAATTAAATCAAATTAAAAAAAGTATTGTTTTTTTGATAAAAAACCCATTATTATTCCTAGAACTTTCCTTTTATGCTGTTTTACCTTTATTTTTTGACCCGCTATATATAGTTATCCAAAATAATAATTTAATAAATAATAAAAAAAACTGAAATTGATTAGAAAAATATGTAGTTCAATTAATTGGAAGGGATATTAGTTTTACAAGCAATGCTCTTTCTCCTACCCCTGGTGGATTAGGAACTTTGGAACTTTTTGGTATTTGAGCTAGAGCAAACATTTATAAATATAATAATTACAGTCCATTAGAAACAGCAACAGGCTTTGATTTAATCCATAAACTATATATTGATTTACCAAGACTAATCGCTTCAATACTTTTATGCATAAATATAGTAGTGATAGAAATAAGACAACAATATCTTAAAAAAATAAGAAAAAATATGATAACAAAAAATAAAAACGTTAACCCAAAACTATATCAAACAAACATTTATTATTATTCGATAGCATTTTGAATAGTAATAGCAATAATTTTTATAAGCTTAATTTATTTTGCTTTTTAAATAAATAAGTATTGTTTTTAATTAAGTATTTTCCAGTTCTAATTTTGCCACAACAAAATTGTAGTATCCCATTTAATTTATTAAGAGATATTTTACAATCAAAATTGTCTTTTAAAATTTTATAGATAATTTGTTTTTGATAATAACTATTTTTCAAAAGATCTAAGTTATAATTTGATTGTTCAAATTTAGTTCATTCATTATTAAATTTAAAATAATCATCTTCAAGACTTTTATTTTTTTCTAATATATCTTTATATAGTTTTTCTTTTACAGATAAAGAATAAGAGTTAAGTTCTAGTCTAATTTTGTTTCTAGTATAAAGTGGTAAATCATTAGTATAATCATTGTTATACTTGATATTATTTTTTTCTAAATAATCTAGGATTTCTTTTTTTCAATAGTGATCAACAAGAGGTCTTAGTAATATTAAATTTTTATATTGGCTTATTTTTTTAATACCATAAAAAAATAAATCTTTCTCTTTTTGCATTAAAGCAGACTCTAAAAAATCGTTTTTATGATGGGCTAATAAAACTAAATTAGTTTTATATTTTTGACTAATTTTGATAAAAAAGTTATATCTAATTTCTCTTGCCCAAGCTTGAAAATTATTTTTGGGTTTTTTTACTTCTACTTTTAAAATCTCGCATTTTAAATTATATTTTTTGGCATAACTAACAACTAACTTCTCATCATCAATAGAAGTTTTTCTTGTTTGATAGTTTACATGAGCTAAGATTAAGTTTTGGTTTTTATATTTTTCTAATAAAAATACAGAATCAGGCCCTCCCGAAATAGCAAGAATCTTCATCTTAATTAAATGAATCCATAGTTTTAATAGCACCTTTTTCTATAAAACTATCAATTATTTTTTTGCTTTTTGCTAGTAAGATTGGCATTTTAGTTTCTTCTAAATCATTAAAATTAGATAAGACATATGTTTCTAGTGGAATATTATTTTTAGATATACCAACTCTTAACTTAAAAAAATCATTATTATTTAGATATTGGATAATACTTTTTATTCCATTATGTCCATTATGACTTATTTTTTGTTGAACTTTCATAATCGAAAATGGAAAAGCAATATCATCATAAACGATTAAAATGTCTTCAATTTCTATTTTATAATAATTAACAATACTTTTAATAGCTCTACCAGATAAATTCATATAAGTCATAGGTTTTAATAAAATAAAATTATTAGCTTTATAAAAATGAGAATCAAAATTATGAATTCAAGTTGCACCTTCTATTGCTTTAAAATAATGATCAATAATCCTAAAACCAATGTTATGTCTATTATTTTTATATTCTCTGCCAGGATTACCCAAACCAACAACTAATTTAATCATATTTTAAAATTATTTAATTTTATTAAAAATTTAGAGCAAAAAATATTTTTTTAGGATCAATTTAGCATTTTTGTAATTTGGATAAGTTTTTTTTAATAAATCATAAAAACCTTTTAAATGATTTGGTTCAATGCTATGGATTAATTCATGGACTATAACATAATCAATTGCTTCTGTTGGATAAAATATTAAATTAAAAGCAAAGAAAATTAAATATTTATTAATCTTATTAGATCCTCAATTGCTAGTTTTATTTCTAATAGAAAAAGTATGGTCTTTTAGGTTTAATTTTTCTTGATAAAGTTTTAATTTACTTTTTATATATAAACTTAAGTTTTTTGTTAAAAATAATTTTAAGTTTTTTTCTAAATAACTATTAGTTAAATCTTTAGAATTGAAAACTAATAAATTATTATCAATATATATATCATCAATATCACTTTTTAAAAAAATACATCTGAATTTATTACCAAAATAAAAAACATATTTTTCATCTAAATCATAATAACTTGTTTTTTTTATTAATTTAAGTTTATTAGAAGTAAAAATGTTATCTAAAAAAAGTAATTAATTTGTTTTATTGAAACATAATAAGGGACAGATAAAGTGAAATTACTATTATCTTTATGTTTTAAAATAAAATTCTTTATTTTTTTTCTAGTAATAAAAAATATATACTTATCATTTTTAT